CCACCGGTGATAAACAGGCAAATCAGGAAGCAATGTTCTCCTTTAGAATGCCAGTTGGACTCATAGAAGGTCAAGACCTTAAAATCTTACTAAATATAGAGAAACCCAACAGTTCCCACAATGAGCAGCACACAACTGTGGAGGAAAAACTCTCTCATTAACAGGGAGAAACCTATAGCAGAACCAGGCTCAATGTTGGAGGTCATCTGCCTCGACCGGTTGGAGTGAGCAAAGAAAAATGGGGAGGAGAGGAGAGATGGGTGGAAAAGAGGGGAGAGAAGAGAGAGTAATAGTGGGGAGGGGGAGAGAGAGAGCCGAGAGAGACCAGGAACACTTGAGCACCATCAGGTATCAGATTTGACTATAGTTCAAATGTAAACAATAACAGTGTAAAGAAGTTATTGATTATTTATGACAGCAGCAACAATTCATATACTAATTAAATACTGAAATATTGTAATTAATTACAGTAATAATAGTAATAGTTGTTGTCCTGCAGTTCTGGAGTCAGAGATATCTGAAATGAGAGAGAGAAGGAGAGGGAGACTATGGGAGTACAAAATGACATAGTTATTGACATGTATTAAAGTAAATAAATGAGTGGGGGGGGGGCAGAGAGAAAGAGAGAAGTGGAGAGGTGCTCAGTGCATGATGGGAGTTCCCCCAGCAGTCTAGACCTATATGTCTAAGGGATGGTTCAGGACTTACCTGATCCAGAACTAACTATAGGCTTTATCAAAGAGGAACGTTTTAAGTTTAACTTTAAATGCTGAGATGGTGTCTGCCTCCTGAACCCAGAGTGGGAGCTGGTTCCACAGGAGAGGAGCCTGGTAGCTGAATGCTCTACCTCCTGTTCTACTCTTACAGACTCTTGGAACCACAAGAGAGCCTGTGTTTTGTGAACGAAGTGATCTATTCAGATAATATGGTGTTATCAGGTTTTTGAATTCTATTCTGAATTTTACAGGGAGCCAATGTAGAGAAGCTAAGACAGGACTAATATGATCTCTGCTTCTAGTTCTTGTCAGCACTCGTGCTGCAGCATTTTGGACCAACTGGAGACTTTGTACAGTCTTCCTGGGACATCCTGATAATAAAGAATTACAGTAATCTAATCTAGAGGTAACGAATGCGTGGACTAGTTTTTCAGCATCCTTCTGAGACAGGGTGTTTCTCATTTTGTTAATATTGCACAGGTGGAAGAAAGCTGTCCTAGAGACCTGTTTTATGTGTTTGTTAAATGACATGTCTTGATCAAACATAACTCCAAGGTTCCTAACAGTTGAGCTGGAGGCCAGACTGACACCATCCAATGTAACTATCTGTTCGGACAGTGATTCTCTAAGATGTTTAGGGCCAATTACAATGACCTCAGTTTTGTCTGAATTTAGAAGTAAGAAATTTTGGGTCATCCAAGCCTTGATGTTCTTGAGACATTCCTGAAGTTGAACTAAGTGATTAGATTCATCATACTTCAGAGAAATGTACAGCTGGGTGTCATCTGCGTAACAATGGTAGTGTATGTGGTGCTTTCTCATGATGTTGCCTAAGGGGAGCATGTATAAGGTGAAGAGTATYGGTCYAAGRACAGAACCTTGTGGAACTCCATGACTAACTTGCATGTGCATGGAGGGGTCATTGTTGACGTTAACACATCTTTCTGATAAATATGATTTAAACCAGTCTAGTGCCGTTCCTTTGGTCCCTACATGTTGTTCTAGTCTCTGTAACAGGATCTTATGATCTATGGTGTCAAATGCTGCACTATGATCCAACAGGATGAGTAGAGAGACAAGTCCATCATCTGATGCCTTAAAAAGGTCATTAGTGACTTTCACTAGTGCAAATTATGACTGATCAAAATCAGATGAGATTAAAGAAACTAGAGCAGATGATCCCAGATCCACAAATATCAGTGTTCAAATGTTCCTGATAAATGCTGATGAATTAATATGCATAAGCTTCAAAAGAAAACATGATGATGATAAAATGGGCAATGATTTTAACAAAAGCCTACAAGATTAATGCACTAAATAGTAAGTAAAGTATGAATGTGTATGTGTTTGTGATGACACTCCTGTAGTAAGTAAGGTTTATTTTTGAGGAATTTACTAATGAAGCTCAGCATTAGTTAATTCAGGAAGACTTAACCTGCTCATTGATCAGCTGATTGTGGGCATTTCTAAATGGCCAATCAGATTCTGCCAGTCTCTTCCAGCCAATCATGCAGCTGCTGTCAAACTTTAAATCCCTTCTCCTCTCTTCAGCAGTCAGCTGTCATTCAGTGACGAGCTAAACACACNTGTTCAGCCTTGCTAGTGGCATTCCACTGATTGAGTGCCATATAGTTTTGATCTAATTTTGTTTTTATTATTATTATTTCAGGGTGTTATCACAGATGGTAGAAATATTAGTAATGATTCATAATATCCACCTCTTTAATGTGTATGACCACCGGAATGTTGTGTGAGGTTTCCTTCTAAAGTCAATAATCATCTCCTTGGTCTGGGCGATGTTTAAATTGAGCAGGGATTTGTCACATCACACTATAAGGTCATAGTGTGTGGCTATGTTCCTGTTTGCACTCTCAGAGTGGCAGGAGGACAGTATCATCAGCAAACTTGATCAGGTGGTGGTTGAGGTGGATAATTCAGTCTTTAGTAAACAGAATTGGGGATAGGACACAGCCTTTTGGTGAACAAATGGTGTACAGTCAAGCTGATAAACTGCCCTGTCTGTTTAAAAAAAAAACACTCTGTAAAATTAGATCTAAATTGAACTGATTGACCCACTTTTTGGCAAATATTACTGGAAAAGGCCCCACTCTTCTCCAGATGACTGTGAATGGTATCAAGCATGAACAGTTTTGCATCAGCTACCTCCCTTTTGGTCTGGGGTCTGGTGCTGGGTTGTGGGACTCTCAAAGATCTTTAAAACCAGAGACATGAAAGTTACCAGGGCCAGTAGCAGTTGAAGGAGCAAGTCTTGTCTTTCTTTGAGATGGGGATGATGGTCACGTTTTCCAAAGCAACAGAACCACTTCTTGGTCCAGCGAGGACTGATATAATTGTTGGAGAACCCAGCTGAGCTGATTTTGTTGCTGCTTTCTGATTGAGATGTCATCATCCAGTGGCTTTGATTGCTGGGGTGTGTTTGGTGGCTGGCTTTGTTTGTGCTCTGTCATGTCAGATACAAAATCAGGCCTCTCAAACCTGGTGTAAAACCTAATTCATGTGTCTGTCTTCTTTCAGACTTTAAGTTCACAGCAGCCATTATTTTTGATTTCCTGCCATGCCATTCTCTAGTTGACATGCTCAAAATTCTGCTCAGTCGTTTTTGTACTGTGTTTTAGCCTGGCTGATGGCCTGTTGAGCTGTTTTTCATCTCTGTGTGACATTTATCGTGATTATATTTGCACATTTTGGTACAGCTTCAGAGCTAGTGAATCCTGATGTAGACA